TTTTTTTTTTTGGGTACTGGGGATGGAACTCGGACCTTGTGGTTGCGAGGCAGGCATCAAAACCACTGAGCTAAATCCCCAGCCCTCTCATAAGATTTTGATAGCTCCCTTCCCAGTCTTGTTGTCTCTAGTCTTTCTCGTATCCACTGTTTCTTTTACCCCAATCCCTGTCCTCTTATAGAGCCTCTTCCAGATTTTCCCCAAAGTGATCCTTCTCATTCAAGCTTACCTCCACTTGGTTCTCTACCAGCTTCTCTTTGCCTGTAAGATAACATCTAAATTTAGCATATTAACATGGTTCTGCCCATCTTCTCTCATTTCTGGCTACTTACCCTTCCCAGTTTTTACTCCAAGAATGCTAAACTGTGTGTAGTTCCGTATGTGGACTATGATAGCACCTCATTGCATGGCACATACTGTTTGTTCTGCCTTGCCCTTACTGCAGCAGAAAACTCCTGGTCATCTTTCATGTCTGCATGTAAATGTCAACTTTTTGGTGAAGCTGTCCTTCAATCTCCCAGCAGACCTTAGATTTTCCTTTGTGATTATTGTGCATTTTATTCCACTTTCAGTGTCATTTAATTTTTGGTATCATAATTGAGTATGTAGACCCTTCCTATACGCTATTGCAAAGATTCTGTCTTTTCATCTTTATAAGCCTATTGCTAAGTATGTTGCATGACATGTAGTTGATATGTAATACAGTGAGTAAAGGAAAAGATAATCTATGTATTACTCAAAAGAAAATGAAACTATTCTTCACTAATTTAATACTCATCTTTTCTCACATTTAAAATTTTTGTTTTGTTTTTATATAGGCCCTCAGTCATATTAGGAGTAACCAACCCTTTTTTTGCTAAAACACTTCAGCACTGGCCACACATTATTCGAATAGGAGACCTTAAACCTGCAGGTAAAGTATAAATTTAGGGTCCTGTTTTCCATATGTAATGTGGCTGAACAGGTTTATTTCTTCCACTTTATTTTCATCCCTTGGTTACTTTTTATGTTGGTGGCAACTTTCTTTGCGGCAACTTAAAAGCCTTTGGAAAAGAGTATAACTTCTCACCAAATAGGTAGCTTCTGATATGATAATCATGTCTTCTCACCAAAAGATGTAACTCCAGTATTATGAACATTGAATATATTACAACAAAATGAAACTTCAAATATTGGAGCTTCTTATGTACTCATATGTGTAAGTCAGATGAAACAGGGATTTTTTTTTTTTTTTTTGGTACCAGGGATCGAACTCGGGTCCTTGAGCTTGTGCAGCTGAGCTAAATCCCTGGCCCGAAACAGGGATTTTTTAATACTGCTTTAAATAAAACTTTATAGAAAGCTAGAATTATCCCAGAGTTGTTAACAAAATTCTTGGGTAGATCTCAAAACAAGTATTATATATCCTTGTGACACAGATATTGATTAAGGGAATGGCTGAAAGGTTGTGCCTTCCTTGAGAAAAAGATAGGTAGTATACTGCTCGTGGTAGGAGTTTAATAGATGTTTATTAAATGAGTAAGTGAATTCTGAGGTTGAAGTTTGGTTAACCTAGATAACAGTTTCATAAACCTCTGACATTCCTCACTGGACATTCCTGACTTTTCACTGAGGTAGTTGGGACGTGAGATTCTAAGTTGGTTTTTGGGTTTTTTGGGGTACCTGGGATCAAACTCAGGACCTTGTGCTTGCAAGGGAGGTGTGGCGCCGCTGAGCTAAATCCCCGGCTCTGTTTTTTGGTTTTGTTTTGTTGTTTTTTTTGAAACAGGATCTCACTATGTAGCCCATGCTGGCCTTGAACTCAAAATGATCCTCCTGCCTTTGCCTCCCAAGTGCTGGGATTACAAGCATGTGCCACCATGCCAGGCTTAAACTTTATGATGTATTTATTACTTTTTGTGGTACTTGGGGGATCAAACTCACAGGTGCTCTACCACTGACCTATGTCCCCAGCCCCTTTTATTTTATTTTTATTTTTATTTTGAAACAAGGTCTCACTGAATTGCCCAGTTGGAGACTTTAATTTGTGATCTTTCTCGTTCAGCCTCCCAAAGTGCTGGGATTACAGGCATGTACTGTTGCACCCATCTTGATGTACTACTTTTAAAAATTATTCTTGTTGGGCCGGGGATTTAGCTCAGCGGTTCTGCCGCCTGCCTCGCAAGCGCAAGGACCCGAGTTCCATCTCCAGTACCATAAAAAAAAAACAAACTGTTATATGGAGGTATATTTGATACAATAATGGTAACATAGGATATCTCTTTTGGTATGTATATACACCTAGATGAAGGTGTTAAGAGTCAGAGATAACATCTTAAGTTGTACTGTTTACAAATACTGGGTTCAGTCTTACATTGAAATCTTATAAAAGAGAGGAAAGAACAAAAGGCTTTACATTGTCAGTCATAGCTTTGTGATATTAGGCAGAACATCCTCTTTAAGCCTAAAATTCTTTGGTGGGTGGATTAAACACAATAGCTTGATCCATGGCACTCAGTACATGTCCTGTTCCCTTGTCATTCCATTAGTGTTCTGGCTGTACTAATGTTAACTCAGAAAACAACAGTTATTAGACTCTTAAGCATGAGAATTAAAAAAGAAATCTTAATTTTGATATTTATTGTTATGGTTTGATTCTACCAATCTATATTATTGTGATTACTTGTAGAAGACTACTGTTTATTTTCTTTTTCCAATGATGAAAGGCTCTTTTGGGGATATAGGTGGAGGACTTTCAGACACAATCATTGTTTGACAAGCATGAACGATGAATCTGTTTAAGAAATTACTGTGCCGTGTTCCAAAGTTCCCCAACACTTTACATTTGAAACGACGTGTTAAGTGTTACTTCTTTACGTCTTTGGTGCTATTTGATCTTTTTCATTATGGCCATTCTCATGTGTTTCAAATGGTGATTTTAATTTAGTTTTCTCTAATGAATGATGATATTGAGCATATTTGCATGTACTTATCATCATTCACATAGTGTGGTGAGATGTCTATTTAAATCTTTTGCCCATTTTTAAAATAGGTTGTTGGTCTTTATATTATTGAATTGTAAGAGGCCTTTATGTATTCTGGAAAAAAGTCTGTTTTCAGATAAATGATTTGCAAATATTTTCTTAAAGGATGTAGCTTCTCTTTTCATTTTCTTAATGGCGTCTTTTGAGACAAGAAAGTCTTGCTTATCTGTATTTTTTTTTAATGGATTGGCCTTCCAATGTTATCTTAGAACTTATGCCTAACCCAAGATCACAAAAATGATCTCTTATGTTTTTGTCTAAAAGTCTTATTATAGTATTTACATGTAGGTCTATAATCCACCTTGAGTTAATTTTTGTGTATAATGTAAGAGCCTTAAGATCATCTTTTTTTTTTTTTAATTTTTTTATTGGTACATTGTAGGTATACAACACAACTACATTCTCATTGGGAATTGTACCTTTACATAATACATCTTGGTTCTTATTTTTTCCCCATTCCTAGCCCTCCCTTCACCCCCTCCACCCTTCCCT